AAAATGGCGGAAGATGTAACTCGTGGGAGAAGAATTGTTAAATCAATTGTTATTTTTGTTTTCTTTGCGCTCAAAAAGTAATCTCGTAGCTTCGCAAAACAGAAGTTGAGCCACTGATGTCACATGGACTGTTTTACCGATGTCCTTACTACGTTTCTGGACCTGGGAACATTACAGTTGCGTTGCTGTCTATGCAGGGTCTGAGAGCTCTCACATTTCATCAAAAATATCTTAATTCTTTAAATGAGACTCATGATCATTAAACTGTAAAATTACAGACAAAAGTCATTTGTAGCTCCCTCGGTCATTAGCGCTGTTTACCGAAGCATCACTATCACAATTGCTCACATAAGTGAGTGATTTGAGCACACAGTAATCCTAAATATAAAATTTTGGCATGTCACTTCTCCCACACCTAGCAACCACCTATAACACCCTAGCAACGGCACAGCAACACTCTTTGCAACCACCCTGAACACCCAGTTGAACGTCAGAACAGCACTCTGGAAACCACCCAAAACAGCAACACATGAGAGACACTCTAAGATCTGCATAGCAACACTCAGGGCAATACCCTAGCAACCCCTAAATATTATGCATTAAATATGTATTAGAAATGTTTTTCAACTGCACACATCCTTAAAAATACTAAGGCTACGTCCACACGAAGCCTTTCCCTATCCGATCTTTTTTTCCCCTCATCTCAAGAAATATCTGCGTCCACACGAAACCACAAAACCGACACAAAACGATGTAGTATACATGCCAGACCAGTATGTGGCGCTGTAATTCTGCCACAGAGATACACTAAAAAACGGAGAAGAAGACTTGGACTATGCACATAAACCTTGCACGCGGTATACAAACGAACATGGAACAATACATATATTAATCTGTGTTAATGTTAGTTAATAAAAAGACAACCGTTCAGTGTTTGTTCATGTTTTTTCGGGGCCTAAGGGTGTTTATTTTCATAATTTGAAGGCTTGTTATTATTTCAAATGAAATATTAATGTATAGCATTAATTCAATTAATTAATCTGGAAATCACAGTTAATTTGATTACATTTTTTTAAATTGATCAATAGTCCTATTTTATTCATGAAGTCTTTAAAGGAGGAATTTTACAAGTCTACACATACACGCCAACAAAACGTTCAGTCAAACGCTGGAACCTTTCAGTGCGATCGCGGTCATCATCGTTAAATGGCCGTGCAATGAATTAGCATTTCACAGAGCGCTGCATAAGCATTTCTGAGGGTTATAAAGGGAACGGAGCCAGGGCTGGAGATAAGCTGGTGTGAAATGTGTTTTCTGGCCTTGTTAATATTAGATGAGCTGCTGTCATCAGCACCGATCCTCCGATAAACCATGAAGATCATGTTGAGATTATACAGTCAAGGTCAAATTAAACACTAGCACACACTTCTAAGATACCAAATACAGCATCAGATAAAGTATAGACACCGCACTCTTTGTCTTAAAGAGTTTTAAATGACAAGCCGATTATTGATTCCACATCTATAATTAACTGTATTGAACTCAATAGTCTTTTTTTTTGTGCCCAATTTAGCAGTTTAGATAACACTGATTCTTCGCCAAAAATAATATGCTTAGACACTGTCTGACAAAATAAAATAAAAAACACTACTTAAACTATGCTATTTAGTAGTTGCTATTCAAAAAAAGAGCCAGTCCTAGTCTAGATAATGCTTGAGTCTCTTCAACGCAAGTCTGTAAAATTTTTGCCCGTTTAATTGTCGGTCAGGTGAAAATATTAAATCTGACTGCTGAGGAAATGGCTAAGTGATAGCACAGCTTTTAAGGCCTAACTATAATGATAACTATATTAGCGTCCACACCAATGGACATTGTTTATTATGGGCACATTGCTAGAGTTATGTTATCTGCCGTTTTAAATGTGCAAACTCTCCGGTGGATTCTGATTGCCTATCAATGCTTTTTTATCGTTCATCAGCTGGACAAAATCATTCTGAGAGTGATCGCAATGATATCGTTCTTCTGTGTCGTTATTGTTATAGTACGGTCTTCCCTATTTCAGAGAATTGGAAAGGTTTTTAAAGGTAATACTGACAGCTAGCGGCTGAAATGGGTACTGCAATCCAAATTCAAAATACGTGAGTTGCCAGATTGAGGACACGCAAGAGGAATGAGTGCAACTGACAATGAAAGGTGAAGAGCATTGCACTGTAAGTTGATGAGTTGATGTATCCACATTTTAAAATGTCTCTGGTCAGAGAGTTTTTTAGATGGTTACTGAGGCTTTTAGGTTGGGTCGAATCTGCAATCTCTGACCCAGTTCGTTTGCTGACGTACATGGATGCAATACGCTGTGTTTTCTGCCAACTTGCAACCCGGGTGTCTAAACACTATTGAGTAAATTGGCAGTGGGTGGAATCACACAAACCAAAACAAAAACAGACATTCTGACACGGAACACACATTTCAAAGTAGAATAACTGGCTGTAGCAATTATGTGAACAACTGTGTATTTTTATGCTTTAGTAAAGTCAAAAGAATTACATACAGCACCATTAAACCTTAGTTATAACTTATTATAGTCTTCGGTGTAAACCTTTATTCTAGGTATCATTCATGTCTTGAACACAAATGATTCAGGGTAAGTATAAGCAATAATGCAGAAAGGAAAATCTTGAAATGTCACAAACACAGACGTTTGTTAGTCATAACCGACTCCATTCTCTGATCGAACAATAGTTAGCTGACCGCATGGCTGGGCGTGCAGAAGAGCGAAACGTGAGCTTGTGCTCTGTTGGTGAAAAAAGATCCCTGTCTAATGGAGCTGGAGGAAGTTGGACTCGAATTCTGCCCCGGGACGGAAAGATGAGCTGCCCGTCTGCTTGGCACAGGCCCGCCTCCTATCGACCCGCTCCAGCACTCTTCTAAATATCTGTCAATCGATGGAGACTCGCACAGAGTGACCTCACATTCTTAGTGTCGCAAGAATGATAAGCAAATAAGCACTAATGGCGAGGTCGAGATTAGCAGAGAATACTAGCATTGATTGACTCAGCTAGCTGATATGAATTGATACACTAGTTGAACCACTAAATGTGGATTATATAATACAGCATTTATGGTGGTCGAATGTTTTGTTTGTGTGCATACGGCAGATTATCTGTAGGCTGATAATACATCCCATTGGAGGCATCAGATAATAAACATCCATTATCAGAGCACAGCCAGTGGTGTTTAAAACCCCATATGCACTTACCAGGCAGGAGACTAAATATACTTAAGTGCTCTAAACCGATTCTTCAGTAAGCGTTACCAGATGTATTCTTGGCCTTTATGGCGAAGCACCACATAATTCTCTCAGCTCAATAAGAGCTCGACTCACGGGAGACTCGGCGGCTAGAAACCTAGAGATCAGCAACAACGACAAACAAAATGCCTATTTCACAGACAGGCGGCCCTCTTTTCATCAGTGTAAAGGGATTAGCTGCAAACTCAGACCTGCTCTTGGGGGAAGAACGCTGGAGCGATACTCTGCACAGACAACTCGCATCTTATATTAGCGGTTTGCAAAAGCTTTGATGACAAGCAGCCCCAAATATGGTGATCCCACTGCAAGGGACCTTCCTACAGTAAAATATAATGCAGCTGCATATTTTCATGCATGAAAACCCATACAATAATACACCTTTTAGGACCTTTTACGAAAAAAGTACCGTATTGGCCCGAATATAAGACGACCCTGATTATAAGACGACCCCCCCCCTTTTTCCAGATGTACCTTTTGGAAAAAGGCTTTTTAAAAACCAAATCTTGTTTTTTCTCAGTAAAACACATTTTGTCTTCAATTATTTTCATATTGCATATTTTTCCTATTTTAATTTTTGTTTTGAAAGTATGGTAAAAACTGGTAAAATGTACCAACAATCACATTTAAAAAATATACACTTTTTGATATACCATAAAAAAAAAAAAACAGGTAGCCCATCTGAATTAGGACATTTAGGCTATCCATCTAATAGTAGCCTACCAAAATCTTATTAACAGTAGAAGTTAAATCTTACTGTAGTCTTCAAATCTGGGTACTGTCTTACGTTTTAAAATCACAAAGGGAGTTTGGTCCCATCAGGCTAACGTGACAGTCACGACTCATGCAGCTGTAAGCTTTTCTTTTTCTTTTGTTTTTACTCGCGATCTTTACAACACGCATTACATTACAGATTTCATGGCACACTCGTTTTATGCGTATTTGGCGCCACCTAGTGTTGTGGGTGTATTATTGACATGTCAAAGTCTAGACCCTGAATATAAGACCACCGCGTTTTTTCAGCTGTATTTCCAAGAAAAAAATATCGTCTTATATTCGGGACAATACGGTAATAGAAAATAAAAAAATAAATAGTACATTTAAATATATATTAAACAACATTTTTAGGCTATTAAAATACAATATTAAAAATAAAAAATTATTGTAAGCTTAAAACAGTTAAATCTGAAGAAACTAGCTGCAAACAGCAGGATTTTATCCTTACAAAAACACTATCCACAAAGCCTAAAGAACAATGCACAATAATCTTGTCATCATATCTGACAAATCTATGCAAATACTTGCCGGAGACTAATTTCCACAATGTCAAAACTTCAGCAGCAAGTCTAGAGAAATAAGATCCCTCAAGTGGCCTTGAAACAGGCCAATGCGTTACACAAAAGCAAGCAACACCGTATAATTATCAATCACGAGCAGTCAAAGGGTAATAATGGGGGTCTGAAATGCTGTTTTCATTTGCAACGCTGAACACAAAGAATAAATGGCTTCTGATTCCTGTTAGATACAGTGAGAACACCTATTCATCTTCTCTGACGCCTCAAGTGCGCCGAGTCCATTTATCTTCTTGCAAATAAAGTCAGCCGCCCTCACAATAACATGCCGAGAATGGATTGAGCGCCGGAGGGCCCAAACTCGACTCCTGCTTACTACAAGTCCATATGGACGCCGGTCCTACCTCTCTCCAGTGTTCCGGCCCGCACTCCTTCCCAGCGAATTTGCACTCCAGCAGCATATCATCCATGCGGTGACGGGTGCGATTGAAGAACTCGGCGAGGCTGAATCGAGACCCTTGCCTGTCGGGCTCCGGCGCCAAAGGGATTCCCGGAGCCATGTTGTCCTCGTATCCCAACAGTGGCCCCATGAAGAGCAGGTCGCTGTAGCTCAGCTGTGAGCGCCGGAACGAGTTGTAGTTGCAGAGCGTGATGGCGGGGAACGTCATGTTCCTGGCATTGCGCTCGTCCAGCATGGTGATGTAGTCATACTGCAGGTAGTAGATGACACGGTCCACCACCTGCATGAGGAACATGGAGACCGCCAATAGAAAGACCACCGTCCACAAGCCCTGGCGGACACTCAACTTCTTGTCCACAAAGACGTGGTTGGCGCCGTGGAGGGAGCAGCCACCAAAAAACGTGGCGAGGCTGATGTCGGGCACTTCTTCGTCTTCCGTCCCATCGTATGCATCCGGATCGTCACCCTCCTCCTGGTACTTGCCATGTTCGCCATCTCTTGACCACACCACGCGCTTGTAGTGGTCGTCGAAGCTGCCTTTGCGCGAGCGGCCAACTGGCTCATCATCTGTGCTGAAGGAGATGGTGCACGTGATTCGTACCATGATGCTAAATCAAAAACCGGTCAATAGTGAAAAGAAGAACACCGAAAAAAAATGTCTCAGCTTGATGGATTACGCTTAAAATGGAATTTTGCAGTATCCTGGATGTCCTACGTACAAAAAAAACAGGAAAGATTCATTGACCCCAAATAAGCCAATCCTGACTTGATCTTCTGGCGACTAGAGATGGAAAAATGACAATGATCTCTTCAGAAATGATGTCCAGCGCTTTGACATCGCCAGTAATCTGTCTCTCCCTTCACAACAGGACATCTAAAGAGGAATGGCACTGTTGGGATGTTATGCACTTCCTGGCCCCAAACTCCCTCCCTCAGACAAGGAATAGTCCCAGTGCAACCTGCATCTGATGTCAGCACCGGATCGCCTTTCAATGCGCATTTAAGCACTTAGGATAATAATCCGGGTCATTTCTATCACACAATATCTACTTCATGAATCCAGATGCATGGGATTTTTAACTAGGTGCTAAAAGCCACAGCAGCCGTTATGCTTTGATTAACAGGATATGCTGAATGCGTCACTGTTGCTGGTTTATCAGCTCATGAATAAACACTCTATAGAGTTTCGAGCAAAGCCAAGATATCAACATGCGTGCATGTGAGTGCCTGTGGCTTAGAAGTGAAGCGATACCATACAATGTCATGCATGAAAGACTGAAGTACACAAACACAAACCCAACACTCTTTCATGATATGTTTGCACTTGTCTAGCACGCTATTGCTTTACTAAGCTTCCTGTTGAATGCAGCTCATAAACTGAAGGGAAATTCAACACTTAATCAAAATTTTATCACCACAATTCATGGAACATGAGCAGAATCAACTTCGGGGGTAAATTAATATAAATGGAACCTTCTTACATACATGTTTGTGTTCATTTCAGTGGGACAACTTAAATAAGAATGGTTTTATTAATTCAAATTAAGTAATTTGCATAGTATTTCCATGATCCAAACGAATCTCTACTGCGCAGACTCGGGCTCCAAATGACGTCATTTACTCAAGATGGCAGCGGCCATACTGAGATGCTTTGGCTTCACTTTTCTATAGTGGAAGGAATAGTAGACGCGTCGTCCATCTTTTTTTACAGTCTATGGGTGAAATTAACAGAGGTTTGGATGCAACGGAGCAAGAACCACACTTGTTGGCAATAGTTATAAAATGAAACTTAAATACATCTACAGAAGCCTGACAGACTGTTTTCCAAATAGCTTTGAGTTTCCATTGACAAGCTATATTTTCCAACAAGAAGGTATAGCATGACAAAGCACTACATTGCTGATATTCTTATTTTTTACACAGATAATTATCTAACACTTGCCTAGAATGTCCTTTGCTTTTATTTGTAGCATAAACAATTCAACACAAAGTTAAATGCAAAGACTCACATCTGCCATTCTTACGGAGATCCAGACAAAAACTGATTTGAATGAAACCAAATTAATAACTTCAATAGCAACATTAATCTAATAATAATAAAGTAGTTAAAATTAAGTAATTTGCATAGTATTTCCATGAAGAAGACCCCTTGAAGAAGATTAGCAGCATGTTTTCTGTCCTAGATCGTGCGTGATTGATTCTGGCAAGATCAAAGGTTCAAGGATTTCATTTCGAAGCACAGTGTTTGGAAGCAAACCGGAGGCATTATTTTTAATACCAGCTGCCCGTCTTTACATCATACAGTGTCTCTATTGATTGATCTCTGTTGATGACTACGACAGCCAGAGTTTTCAATTCTTTACTTTGACTGGATGAAAATGACAGAATTCAACAGACTTAAACTGAACTATGTAGGGGTGAAATCGGGTGTGCCTCACACGTCCTGAAAAGTGAAGCTGCGGGCTCTTTGATCGCCCCCCAGTGGCTGACTGCAGTACAGGTCATAAACCCCGCCCTCTCCATGTAAACGAATGGGACTTGAGTCAAAATAAAAAAATGTATTACACTTCCAATTCAATTTCCCGAAAGATGGTTTTGATCATTTAAGGTAGTTGTTATCACGCTGATATATGTTCAATTGTTTGTTTTTGTGATAAGTTTGATTTTAGCTAGTAATTTGATGCTATAAAAACGGGGCGTGTCGTTATGGTTGATTGGGTCTGCGGGAGTTTGATACCGCGGCTCCACCTCACGACACTACTGCGCAGACTCTGGCTCCAAACGAATCTCTACTGCGCAGACTCGGGCTCCAAATGACGTCATTTACTCAAGATGGCAGCGGCCATACTGAGATGCTTTGGCTTCACTTTTCTATAGTGGAAGGAATAGGAGACGCGTCGTCCATCTTTTTTTACAGTCTATGCGTGAAATTAACAGAGGTTTGAATGCAACGGAGCAAGAACCACACTTGTTGGCAATAGTTATAAAATGAAACTTAAATACATCTACAGAAGCCTGACAGACTGTTTTCCAAATAGCTTTGAGTTTCCATTGACAAGCTATATTTTCCAACAAGAAGGTATAGCATGACAAAGCACTACATTGCTGATATTCTTATTTTTTACACAGATAATTATCTAACACTTGCCTAGAATGTCCTTTGCTTTTATTTGTAGCATAAACAATTCAACACAAAGTTAAATGCAAAGACTCACATCTGCCATTCTTACGGAGATCCAGACAAAAACTGATTTGAATGAAACCAAATTAATAACTTCAATAGCAACATTAATCTAATAATAATAAAGTAGTTAAACTACAGTAAACTTGTACTTTTGAAAATACTATTTTTCTTAGTTGTCATTTTTTGTTAGTAGCTTGTAGTGTAATACCTAACTGCAGCTGAACGCTTTGCTTAGCTACTTTAATTATGAACAGCTTAATGTTCAAAGCTTCAACATTGGGTAGTCATTAATCTATTTAAATGCACTTGTAAAGTGACCAGTGGCGGCTCGTGGGTTTTAAAATAGAGGAGGCACACTAATTGTATTGGTCTGGGATCCCTGCCGATTATTATTATTATTATTTGCTTAACCACTTTAAAATGGCTTTTTGGTTGCTTTTAGTCAGAAAACGTAAAGAAAACGACACACATACAGCATGATAATATAATTTCACTTACCTGGCCTATTATGGGGAGGCTGTGCCTCCCCCGACGAGCCGCCACTGAAAGTGACCATTTCAAAATTGGACATTGTTTTAGACCGATCTCCAAAAAAACCCCGAAAGCCATACAGTCACCTTACAAAAGCTGCCAAATGCAAACAGCATCCAACAGATGGCAGCAGAGCTCAGCGTGGGAATTATCCAGACCTCCTGCCAAACACTTTTCCCGTGTCGACTCACAACACTTGAAAATGCAATCAGTCTGATTGCCTGAAGCTGCCAGTGAAAATGAATTCTCAACACGCTCGTATATTTTTCCCAGGTCTGCTCCAGTGCTCCTCAACAGGTTTCTCCACGCTCCATTCAATCTCCCTTCATTCTTGAGGGAGAGTATGGAATCAATGAGTGACTTAAAGGAACAGTACACTGGAAAAAAAAAATCATTTATGATTTCTCTTCAGGTACATTCTTGCTATTTGCCAAGTTGCATTGGCTAGGTCAGGCATCACTATTGTTATTTCTCATAAATGAAAGTAACGTCGTCTTCAGACACTAGGGGGCAGTAGATATTCTGCCGTGCGGCCATTCTGTGCCTTGAGGGCGGGTGTTATTTGAAGCACATGGAGATGGTCCATCATTTCCACTCAAGACCCTCTCAACCGACAGCCATGATAGACCTGTCGTTACCATGGATACTGGCAGCAAGGGAAAACACATGAAGACCTATTACCATGGATGTGCGGACACACACACACACACACACACACACACACACACACACGTAATTTGGGAAAAAAAAAATCATTTATGATTTCTCTTCAGGTACATTCTTGCTATTTGCCAAGTTGCATTGGCTAGGTCAGGCATCACTATTGTTATTTCTCATACTTGTGGTCATCCACACATTTCTGCCTAGTACAAATGCAAGTAACGTCGTCTTCAGACACTAGGGGGCAGTAGATATTCTGCCGTGCGGCCATTCTGTGCCTTGAGGGCGGGTGTTATTTGAAGCACATGGAGATGGTCCATCATTTCCACTCAAGACCCTCTCAACCGACAGCCATGATAGACCTGTCGTTACCATGGATACTGGCAGCAAGGGAAAACACATGAAGACCTATTACCATGGATGTGCGGACACACACACACACACACACACACACACACACACACACGTAATTTGATTCAATGACTGCTGTGAGAAAATGACGTCTACTATGTGGCTAACATCTGAATTGGCCTACTGGACACTAATCACATTATTTAACACCAGGAAACCTGCAAATGTTTGGTCTCGAGTGGCACAGATCCAGAATAAAACATGAAACCAGCTGGGACAACCACAAGTGCTGGAATTAACGAGCACTAAATTACAAGAACCGCAAAGAGAAAGATGAACCTGTTGGTTGTTGCAGCCTGATACTTGAGAAACGGTAGCATATTGATAAATATTATTATGTAATTTACATTATAATGATGTTAATTACAAGCACTTGCATATATATTAAGCCAAATGTCTAAAAACATTGTGAAAGAACAAATGAATAAAAATAAATAAATAAATAAATAAAAAGTTTATTATAAAGATGGATTCAAATATTAAATTGAAAATGGAAAATTAAATAACTTAATTATGATTACAAAATTATTAATTATCTAAGCTAACAGAGTGTGTTAAAAATGTAAAAGATTGGATGACCAATAATTTTCTCCTATTCAATTCGGATAAGACCGAGATATTACTTATTGGGCCAAAAGAGAGTACACAGAATCTCTTGGATTACAATTTGCAACTAGACGGGTGTACTGTTACTTCCTCTACAGTCAAAAATCTGGGTGTTATATTAGACAGCAAATCATATTTCCCATGTTACAAAAACAGCATTCTTCCATCTTAGAGACATTGCCAAGTTATGAAACATGTCACCTGTTTCTGAT